GATTTCAGTTTGATTAAAGCTGGATCAGTACATTGCTTTTTAAAGACGGCAGAAACTCAGCCTAAAGCTCACAAAACTATTTCAACAACCAGCAAACGGCTAAAACTGCAAATGACAGCAGGTACACGGCTTCAACACAAACATAAGTGAACCGCCTCAGGCTGGGCCTCAGCGTCAGCTCGTACTCACAACGCTCCTCAAACCCAACGCTGAAAATGACAGACTGAAACAAGTACAGCACACGTACAACCATCAGAGCTCCACCTGTGACAGGCGGAGGGGGTGTTGTGTCCCACTTTATAAGGTGCGGTGCAGCACAGCTCCAAACACTTCAGCAAATATCCTCCAGCTTTAGAAACTGACCACAGGTTTACATTTAGATCGGCGCTCACAGCCCTCTGTACCACAAGAGCACACAGTTACCATACCTGTGTGAAACACTTGTGCTGTGGAGTCTGACGTGTGACAGGAGGCTGAAGTTAATTACATTATAGTAATAATAATAATAATAATAATAATGTGTTAGTCCCTGTAGGGAAATGACTCCTCTGCATTTAACCCATTCACCCAGTGAAGCAGTGGGCAGCCACTAGTGCAGCACCCGGGGAGCAGCGTGTGCAGACGGTACCTTGCTCAGGGGCACCTCAGGGTAGCCGTTCAGTGGATTCGAACCCCCGACCTTCTGATCAAGGGGCAACCACTTACCTAGTGAGCTAGCCCTGCTTGTTGATGTGAGCCAATACTAAGAGAACCCCCGTTTGGTGGCCTTTTCTTTACACACACACACACACACACACACACACACACACACACACACACACACACACACACACACACACACACACTAGGGCTGCCACGATTAGTCGACTAGTCACGATTACGTCAACTATCAAAATCGTCGACGACTGATTTAATAGTCGACGCGTCGTTTGAAACTTTGTAAGATCACAAAAGACGCAGGAATAATAGCAGGATTTAAGAGTGTAATAACGGACTGAAACAGAAGATGGCAGCATTGCATGTACAAGGATGTCAGCTACCGTTAAACCCCGAAGAAGAAGAAGAAGAAGAAGCTGTGTCCCAGAATTCATAGCGCGGCCCAGCGCAGTTTCCAACAATGGCGGCAGCTAGTTAGTTTTAATGTTACTCTTATTATTCTTTCTGGGTCACAAAATAAATGTTTAACATATTTTCAGGTAAGAATGTAGCTGTGTAAACCTCAAATATCTGCTCAGTTTATCAGGACACCACATATTTTCAAAAGCGCTCCGACGTTTTCGGAGACGTCTGTTACCCACTAGCTCGTTAGCGAGCCGGGGGCTAGGCTCACTAGAGCCGTGAGAACACGGACTCCCTGCAGATCGTTTTCAAACCCACCGCCGTCTTTCACTACTCAGGTTAAACATGATATATGAGTCACTTAGATAACTTAAAAATGTTATTGTTTGGCTTTTTTTTTTTTTTAGTATTTTATTTGTTCCTGAGTAAATCAGTTTGTCTGAGATTAAAGTTATAGTTTTTGCACAGCTGAATAAACATCAAGCAGACAGCTGATTATCAGAAGTGTGAGATGCTCCAGAATTTACTCCGGTGTCCTGTTAGATTTTAGATAGCAAGGAGTTTATTAAACTTCACCGAAACAATCTGCAAATTTCATTAAAATTTAACAAACTATCATCTTGTCTTTACTTTTAGTTAGCACCTTAAACACTTAAAGCTGTAAGCTAATGATAGTTATATAAGAGCAGATGCTGCTGGTGCAATAAGCTGTACGCTGTACGTCCAATGGATGATGATCTGATTAGTCGACTAATCGCAAAAATAATCGGTGACTAGTCGACTATCAAAATAATCGTTTGTGGCAGCCCTAACACACACACACACACACACACACACACACACACACACACACACACACACACACACACACACACACACACGGTGATGTGTGACCCAGATGTAAACAGATTGGTCATGTGACCACTGCCGTGTGACACAGTAATGATAAACACTTCCACAGTTACAACAGCACGGCTTTGCTGTGACAGTATTCTGAAGAGTTCACTATCGCGAGCAGGCAGGTTGATCCTTTACTCACACGTGGAGCTGAAACAACAGCAGGCTACTTTCAGTGCTTACATTTGACTGATGCCATTTCGCTCTGGCTCCATGGTGTACTGGTTTACAGGTTAGCCTACTGAAAGATTCCCAGTTGATCCCAGACACACAAATCCCTCTATGGTCATGTCCATAAGAGCAACTGAGAAATGTGCTGATGTGACGCGAGATACGACTGCACCACAGTAGCGGTCACTGATCATAGCGCTTATGAAAAGACTAAGATGCCCTGCATACTGTTCGCTGCACTCAGTGATCAAACAGCCATCCTTACAAACAGAATTGTGGCGATATAATTATGAAGTGCAGGATGTCCATTTTATTTGTAGATATGAGCACTTCATGAAGGAGCGTGTTAACCCACGTTTCCATCAGCACCCACTCAGATCAACTCGCCGAGGCTCGCCACGACTCCACTGACTGCTTTTTCATTACAACCGAGTACCACCTGACCTGTGTCGTTATTGTCATGGCGACACAACAGCACCCCGTGATATAATTAGTATGTAATATGCTACAACAAAGGCGGACATTGAGCCAATGATACACCCGCTGCTCGGCCTGTAGCTTTGCGTCAGACTCGGGGACCATGGCGATGTTAGTTGCCAGGTTTAAAAAATGTCAGTTTTGGGTTTGTGAAGGAGACGCTGTGATGACTCATCGAGTGACGTCCCTGCCCAGCCAATCGGAGGCCTGCCGTCTGCTGGTGTCACATTTTGGGCTCACCTTGGATTGCTTGGAACCCCGGCCGAGTAGGTACTGAAAAAAGGACCTGGTAGCAGGTACTCTGACCTAATGAAACTGTACCGAACTGTGGCCTGGTCTCTGTGCCGGGGGTCCGAGTCTGTCTGAGGGACTCCCTTTCTCCGTTTGTTCCAGGACAAAGCTCTGTTCTCTACTCTTTCATGTCTTTACTGAACTTGGTGATGTTTCCGTCGTGTTTACAGTGTAAAGTAGCTTTTCTCACTCACTGCAGCCTGCATGCTTCTGCTCAGTGCTGCTGAGTCACGTGACCAGAGGACGGCTAATCACAGCCTGCAGGAGAGGAGGTGTTTGCACAGACACGCCAGCTTTCTGAAGGGCGGGAGCCGAACTTAGGACAGAAACAAACTAAAGCATCGAGTCCATCCTGTTAGTGTCGATCAGATACCAAAACCACTGATACTGCTGGCTAACATGTGTTGCTCATTACTTGTGGTGCCTTGAGCATCCACCACTGCAGCATCAAGGATGAAGATCTTTCAAGATCTTTGCCAACAACAAATCGAAACATGAAAACATTACACTCACCCAGTATTTCCTACAGTTCTTATATCTCTGGAAGTAGGTGGAGCACATGCTTTTATCATAGTTGTAGGCATTCAGACACTTCTGGGAGTCATCGCTCTCCTGAGAAAAGGCGTATTTCAAAGCACAGGATTAGAAAGCCGCAACACTCATGTGCCAGCAGCAGGCACACAGCCGACACAGCGCAGCACGTGACAGACGGCGAGCTTACTTCGATGCAGGGGTTAATGTCCTGGTTCCGAACTTTCCGTGCATTTTGATCCATCTGAATCTGGATGGATGGAAAGAAACAGGCTAGTTTTTCTCAGAAGCATTTACCTCTTCTCTTTGTGACTCCAGGCAGCATTTTAACATGAACCCATAGACTAGACAGAAAATACGGACATGGTCAATGTCATGTCCCCCACTGGTTAATTATGTGACTGTTTTCAGTGTCATCGTTGTAGCTTTTTTTAACTACATGTCACAATTTCCTATCTATACAACCAGAAGTGAGCCGCTGGCTTCCCTGTTTGGATCCATCATCTGTGTCCACTAGAATTAGTTAACTGAACTGAAATAATGATAACACAGTGACTGCACAGGAAGGCAGACGCCTACATAACTGCCTCCTTTTGCCCTACTCAAAGGCCGTTTTTTCCTTTTTCAGCGGCAGACATTGTGATGTATGATGGACGTTTGTCTTGCAGTGAACCAGGCATTTCAGAGGTACTATATCAACACTGGACTGTTATTGTGGGCAACATTTAAAGATCAATACACATTAGCTCACTTTCAATTGTTACATTGACATGACACGTGGTTGTGGTTATTTGTGCACCAAGAAATCATTCCAGTGCATTTTACTGTAATACACACCCCAAAATGTTTATACTGTGAAGCTCGAGTTTGATGAAACGCATCATTATTTATGCCACAGGTCGATTTACAACTTGAGGATATCAAAGATTAAGTTGTGATCAGTTTGGAGACTTTTATATCATGTTTACAGTTTTTCTTAGGATTAAACAAATGAGTGAAATAAAAAAATGTGTGTAGTTTGAAATACATGCCGAATTAAAAGGCAGTTCTTTCACACACTGTTTTAATGATTCCTGGAGATCGGAAGCGTTAAAAAGAGCACTTGTTATTTAATTAGCAGATTTCCTAACGACGGTGGGTGCAGCTGAGCGTCCTCCCCCAGCACGTTTCTATATCGTATCAAGCGAAAGCTTCTTTAATGTCTCCAAACGGTGCAGAAACGTTGCAGCAGCTGAATGTGAGTGGAATACTCACCATTGCCTGAATGTTACAACGTGCCTTGTAGAACCCGGCGTTAGCCTAGCGAGCTGTGCAAGCAGCTAACATCCACTGCAGTGAAGACGAGCCAGCTTTAGCAAACACACAACCAGGCTAGACTCCGAGCAACACCGAGCTAACTGATAACGCAACCTTCTGTCACCTTACCGCCGCCTCTGGTTACTGCACCGGCGCACCGCGACGTCACCGAGGACTGACGTCAATATGAGCCAATAGACGCTGTAAAAACCTGCAACGTAGAAAGATAATCCAGCGAGCCAATAGGATTCCGACCCTAACTGTTAGGTTTCGTATCCTTGCAAAACAGGGGCGAAAAGAAGTTTCGGGGATTAACGGCGAGTCCAGTTTTTGAGTTTTATTTACAGACAATGTGAGCGACACTAAAGTGAAAACGACAGCGCCTTTCACAAATCAAAAAGCGCCTTGTCGGAACTTTAAATGGGTGTGACTAACTCCAAGTTCGGTTGCATCGCAGCGCATACACAATGGCTGCTCGAAAGAGGAGAAAGCAAACAATTTTCAGGCCCGCCGCGTCTCGCAAAAAATATGAGAAAAAAATTATTAAAAATTCGGAAAATAGTTGAAAGTGAAGAAAAACTCAACAGAAAGGATGATAAAGCGTCCGGGGTAAGTCTGGTGCAAAATAAGGAAACGGTTACTCAGTTCTTCAATTAAAATATCGGGGTTATTTAAATTATGAGCGGGGTGAGCTGGGGAAAAGTTAGTGTTAATCAGTACCCAGCTTTGGACCACAGAGAAAACTAAGGCAGGGCACAAGGACTGAGAAATGTCAAATCAGCGGTGTCACTGCTGATATTAGTGTGACTGTGCGTGTTCACGAATATTAAAGATCCCACGAAGCGGTGGTGTGAAGGATACTTGAGGAAAGTTGAACACTTGGTTTATTTTTCTAATATAATAACAATGGCAGTGCCGTGAGCCCCGTCACGAACAGGCGCGCTGAGGAATAATGTTCATTTTCCTCCGCGCGGACTTGACTTTAGCGCACGCAGTGTCAACATTCGTGTCGGTTCAAGCATCTCCTCGCAAACCCGCAGCGGCCGCACTGACATTTTGTCTGCGGCCGTGTACTGTATGGCGTTTCCCCTCCGCGCTATTGATCAGTGTGACACAGAAGCTCGCGTCCCGAAACAAGCGGCTCCGTTTCTTGTCGATAAAGTAGAAAATGGAGGGAGAACTAATGCGGCAGCGCCGAGCGACCCAGCATAGTGTCTTTAAAGTTACCGTGGCTCGGTGTGATTTGTGTGGCAGGTTCACACTTCGTGGGCTGTTAATGAAATGTGTGCCTGTCGCTGTTCCGCCGTGCACAGCCGGTCATATGTCAGGCTACGGTGCCTTAAACGTGAAGCTTCCACAGACTTGTTCGGTGCTGTCCAATCAGCAGCCAGTCTGTCTGTACCTGTCTCACATACATTAAAGCTTCTGCGACGCTTGCTTTGAACCCGCCCGTAGTTCCGATGTGCTGCTTAAAGAGACTGCAGAGACACAGCTGTCCAACCCGCTTCATCACATTAGGAACTGATCAAAGTTTAGGGAAATTCTGAGAATTTAAATGCGGGTATAACCGGATCCTAAATCAGCCAAAAAGTAACTTTCTGCTTGTTTCTGTACAATTCACCAAGTTTAAAGCGCTTTATTCTTTCTGATCAGACGGAAACGATTTCATTTGTTTTTCTTTTACAGATGAAGAGTTCTTTGTTGGAATGAGACACATTTAGTTTCCTTTTGCTTCGAAGAATAAAGATTATTCCAAGAGTATAAATTCATTCAGACCTTCAGAGATTAAAGCAAAGAGCTGCTTAAAGAAGAAGAAGAAGAATAATGATAACAATAATACATTTTATTTGAAAGCACCTTTCAGAACACTCAAGCACACTGTGCACAGAAGAATCTATCCACACTTTCACTAAAACATGAATCAATGCTTCAAAGTTTTACCAAACAGGCACAAGTAGTGACCGTAGTAACAATTAATCATGTTGCTAAAGAATACTGATACTAAGTAGATACATTTGTAACTTCTCTAAAATAAACAGTTATACATAAAAAATGTCCTTTTTTTCCCCCTTTTTTGATGTTTTCTTATGGTTTTTGTTTTTTTTGTAAACATTAAAAGTTCTTCTGCTAATTCTTAATTATTACAAAATAACCGAGCATGTACTGTGTAGTTATGTGGAATCATTTAGTGAATGTTTTCAGCTCATAAGTTAAACGAAATTCTAAATGTGTTTAATTATAGACGTATCAGCCCCAAACCATCATCCGGTGCAAGGAGTGATGCAGTGTCTTTATTCATCAGTGTTTTTATTGTCAAGGTTTCATGGTGCTGCGTGAACTACTTTGCAGATCAGGCAACATTTAATTTGACATAAAATAATTGTATTTTTTCTTTGGTCAAAAATGGATGAAAATGCAAGATGTGATCTGTTTGTGTGCACTGAACAACTCTTCTCTTTGTCAAATTCAAATTTTATTTGTCACGTACACAGTCATACACAGTACGATATGTAGTGAAATGCTTGGACAACTGCTCGTGACCTAAAGAAAACAAAAAAGGAAAAGGCTATGAATAAGATAGGAAATAAATATGAAAAATTAAAAAGGGTAAATTTAACTAGGAAGGAATAAAATATAAATTAAGGTTAAAAATGAAATAACTGTACAACACAAATTAGAATGAAGGGTAAATTTAACTGGGAAGAATAAGATAAAATATATAAATTAAAGTTGAAAATAAAATAACTGTACAACAAAATACACAATATAGAACTATGTAAGAATGTATGAAGAAATCTAAATATAAATAAATATATACACAATAACAGCAACTGTACAAGTATTAACTGGAAATGAAGAATATAGTGACCAGTGTTGTGCAAAACCAAAGTCCAGAAAGTCCAGTGTGTGTGTAAGAACCATATGTGTGGGTCAGTACTGTGTGGTGGTGTGATTGAGAGACCGTATCGCCTGCGGGAAGAAGCTCCTCCTCAGTCTCTCTGTGTTGGTCTTCAGGGAGCGGAATCGCTTTCCTGACCTCAACAGAGAGAACAGTCTGTTGTTGGGATGGCTGAGGTCCTTCACGATCTTCCTGGCCTTGGTCCAGCACCGCCTGCTGTAGATTGAGTGCAGGTCAGGGAGCTCGGAGCGGATGGTGCGCTCAGCTGACCGCACAACCCTCTGTAGAGCTCGTCTGTCCTGCATGGTGCTGTTCCCGAACCAGGTTAAGATGTTTCCCGCCAGGATGCTCTCTATGGTGCACGAGTAAAAGTTCCTGAGCACCTTGGAGGGCAGTTGGAAGTCTCTCAAGCGTCTGAGGTGGTAGAGACGCTGTCGGGCCTTTTTCACCACGGTGTTGATGTGACAGGACCATGACAGGTCCTGCGTGATGTGAACTCCGAGGTATTTGAAGCTGTCCACTCTCTCCACTGGGCACTCGTTGATGACGGGGGTCTGGTAGTTCCTCTCCTGCTTAGTGCTGAAGTCCACTATCAGCTCCTTTGTCTTACTGACGTTTAGAAGGAGGTTGTTCCTCTGGCACCAGTTCTCCAGATTCCTAATCTCCTTCAGGTAGGCCGTCTCGTTGTTATCAGAGATCAGGCCCACCACGACGGTGTCGTCAGCAAACTTGATGATGGTGGTGGAGCTGGTAGTGGCCACGCAGTCATATGTGTACAGAGAGTGCAGCAGGGGGGTCAGAACACACCCCTGGGGGGCTCCAGTGCTGAGAGTGGTGGAGGCTGAGACACGTCCGCCCATCCTTACTGCCTGTGGTCTGCCAGTTAGGAAGTTGGAGATCCACTGACACATAGATGAGCTGAGTCCCAGATGCTCCAGCTTGGTGGTGAGTGTGGAGGGAATTATGGTGTTAAATGCAGAGCTGTAGTCTATGAAGAGCATTTTAACATAATTCCCCCTTCTAGTGTCCAAGTGAGTGAGTGATGTGTGGAGGAGATGAGAGATGGCATCGTCTGTGGAACGATTTGTCTGTGTTTGAAAACTAATTTAGAATAGAATTTGAATAGAATGTCCAACAGAATAGTTTTTATTTTTAATAGTTTGAAATACACAGTTAAATATTTCACACTAAGGAGATTTTATTTCTTTTTTGTAGATTCCAGCAAGTTGGTTAACTGGGGAAAGTAATGGTGTGTGAGATTGTGTAATTAGAAAGAGAAGGGCTGTCGGTGTTAGCTACTGATCCTGAAGGATTCAGTGCACCTCACCGCATCAGCAGCAGGACAGCTTCATGTACAGGGCTTAGCTGGTGGACCCTGCACACAGAAATAAGACCTTTCTCTGTTTAAAGAAATGTAAGCAAATAAACTAAAATAACCACATCTTTGTTTTATGTTACATTCTTTTAAATGACAAAGTACACATGCATGTGTGTCACGTTATTAGCATTATTAGATCGGTCTATATATATTTCTGTAAGGTTGGATAAGACCATGTTCCCTGTGTGTTACATCACCTGTGATTAAATCGAAATGTTGGCCCATTTTTGTCTAACGTAGGATTTCAGCTGCTGCTCGCTTCAGACGCTGTTGATATGATTTAAATACCTGGACTGCAGGGAGACAAGTCTGACAGACGGTTCAGTTCGATTATCTTGGTATAACAAACAAAGCTTTCCCTGAAAAAGACGTGTATGAAAGTTTCTCTTGCCATGTCACTAATTCCCCTTCACATCATGACTGCTAAACTCTGCACTAGTTAAAAAGACCAATGGTCTGACTCCTCTTTAGCCCGTAGGACACAAAAGAATTAAAAATACAGATGAGTCAAACCATGAGACAGTTTTCCACTTTGCCAGGCTTCAGGTCCAAATAAAACAATTATTAGATCTAATTATAGTTAAATTATTGATCACAGCTCAGCCATCTGGTGCCACTGTGGCCAATGAAAGGGCTGCCCACTGGGGTGGTTCTTTTCTACATGACCTACAAAAATATTTAAATAAATGATTTTGTGGTCAGAGGTTTCTGTGCACTTACAAAGACATGATTGTACAGCACACATCTTTGATGGCTTTAACAAGCAAGAACTGAGTGCACACGTTTGAATTTGTTTTGGATTTGCATCCCTGCTGATGGGTCGACAGAACCCATCAGGCCCAGAACTTGATGTTAGTGATGGAGTGACAGGTCGTGTCCCTTTGCCAGCATAAAGGACTCGACTGACCAGTACTGTCCAAGGAGCTCAGTCAACATCTAAGGAGAAGAATTACACGTGTTGGGAAGGTCTCTCGGAGCCATATCTAAACAGCTGCATATTCCTAAATCTTCACCATTCTAACAATATTATATCAGTGCAAATTATTCTGTATGTCGTCTGGAAGAAGACCCCAACTATCACTTTAAGATGAGAGGAAATTGGTTGGGAAGTTCAGGAAGAACACAGGAACCACCAACCACCAAACCTGCCATGAACTGGAAACTGATGGAACTCCATGGCAACAAAAAAGAAGCTTGTGCTCCAAAATCACCGTCTTCAGCCCGAGTTGAAATTTCCAGTTCCCCATATGGACAAGCCAAATGGGGTATTTGGCCGCGACGATGACGTATGTTTGGAGAAGTAAGGCTTTCAGACCCAAGAACACTGAGCTCATACGATGGAATAATAAAGACAAATTTCAGCTTCACCTCAAACCAGCAGCTTGGAGACGATTGGCTCATCAGAATTTCTTTTAGAATAGCTAAAGTGGGCCAACACTCAGCTTCTGGGATGGCTTTCCCTAACATCTACCTCAACCTTAGTGAAAATATTTGCACTATACATAAAAGTACGGTTTGGACATGGAAACCACTTATTTTAAATGAGCCAATTATCACGAGTAGTCCATTGTATACATTTGAGACGGTATGTAAGACTTTCGCGCAAATCCAAAAGAAATTCAATTTGCACCCATGTTTTCAGTTCAGAAGGGGCTACCAATCTAAACTGGTCATGGTTTCTGATTCGGGGGACAGGAAGAGGGTCCAATTATCCAGTTGAGGGTTCCTGGGGCCTGGAGTCTATTCCAGCTGCCATAGGGTGAGAGCTGGGTGCATCTTTCACCAGTATTTTGCAGGATGAGTGTGTTGTGCTTATTAGTCACCAGTTTGACATCATTTGCAGGAGTTATCCCGTTTCTATGTTGATGTATTTTGACTGCAGGTCGTTATTGGCGCTCCTGCCGTGTTACAGCCTTGTCCTATACCGAAGCTCTGATGATATTTCTGCCCTTTCTCTCCCTCTCTCACAGACCCCTGTGTCCAGGCAGTGCTGAACACATAAAACTGGACAGAATAATCACATCAGTACTAGTCCGGCGCCGTGCATCGGTCCATGTAGCTGGTCAGCCTTAGGGTGCCATGGCCACGGGAACCCAGGGCCACCGTGACCAAGTCCTGGACAAAGCCAAGCTTGCAGTACCTCTGGGGAGGCGCAAGAGAGCAGAAGGCAAGCTGAAGAAGAATTTCCCTTGTCAGGAGTGTCAGAAGGCTTTCAACAGTCTGGAGAAGTTGAAGGTGCACTCATACTCTCACACAGGAGAAAGACCCTACCGCTGCTCCCACCCTGAATGCACCAAGGCTTTCGTCTCCAAATACAAGCTGCTACGGTACAGACAAGCAGCAGTACATAACAGGCTGCAACATGTTGCTTTCTCTTTGCACTTTTGGTAACGTAATGTTGTGTAGTGGTCAGATTGATGTGTTGAATTCTAGTTTGTTGTGTTTATGTGTAAAGCATGCCTACTTTAAACATGATTGCAACAATTGTGAGTGCTCATAGAATGTGTCTGTGTTCCAAGGCATATGGCAACTCACTCGCCAGAAAAAAACCACAAGTGTTCATACTGTGAGAAAATGTTCCACCGTAAGGATCACTTAAAGAATCACCTACATACTCACGATCCACACAAGGAGGCATTCACTTGTCAAGAGTGTGGCAAGAGCTACAACACGAAGCTGGGTTTCAAACGCCACCTTGCCCTCCATGCTGCCAACAGTGGAGACCTCACCTGCCAAGTGTGCCTGCAGCCATTCCCCAGCACTGGGGTTCTTCTGGAACACCTCAAAACACATGCTGGCAAGTCCTCCGGTGGGACCAAGGAGAAAAAACATCGTTGCGAGCATTGCGAGCGGCGGTTTTACACCCGTAAAGACGTGCGACGGCACATGGTAGTGCACACCGGACGCAAAGACTTCCTCTGTCAGTACTGCGCCCAGCGTTTTGGAAGGAAGGACCATCTGACGCGTCACATGAAAAAGAGCCACGCTCGGGAACTGCTGAGGGTTAAAACTGAGCCAGGCGATTCGCTGGAGCCCGTCGTCTACGACTTGGCGTCTGGGAGCGTAAAGGGGGAGCTCCCGGGAATGCTGACGCCAAGACTGCACCAGCTGAACGTGTACACAGGCCCCGTCCTCGACACCGAGCCCTTCTCCAGTCCCACACATCCCTTTTCTTTAAAGTACCCACTGGGCTCCAACTTTACCTCATACGCCGTGTCCTCACAGGAGCGGGAGCAGAATCTTAAGGGAGACCTGGAGACCTACCTGATGGAGCTGCAGAGCAGTATGCCATCCTCTGCCTCTGAAGCCCAAGAAGCCCAACTCTCCTCCTCCAAACTTGAGTTGGTTCCTGAAGTGGGTGTGCTGGAGGAAGCCAATGAGGAGATGTCCCTGTCCAAAATGTCCACATCAGTAGCAGCACCTGCAGGTGACTCTTTGGCCTTATCGTCCTCTCTAATGGATTTTTCACAGCTTTTCAACTTCCTGCCGCTCAACGGGCCTCCGTACAATCAGGTAGGGGGCAGTGGGGGGCAGGGTGTCACTTTTCTACCCAATGAAGAGCCTGCATCTCTAGTTCAGCTGCCCTCTCAGGCTGCCACGGGCTCAGAGGCTGCTGAGAGTCCACTTCAGGGGCTCTCCTCCTCCTTCATATCCAACCTGAGCACTCCAACCACACTGCCCCGCTTCCACCAAGCTTTTCAGTGACCCCAGTACATCCGGCACATGCCACTCACAAACACTGACACACATGTAGAGCTGCATGCCCATATTAAACGCCATACAAGATGCAAGTGACTGAAGAAATTGGCACATCTGTCCATTCATGATACCAGCAGACACTAACCTGACAGGAGACACAGCACTGACAGCAGCACACTCGCACCACACAGCCAGGTCAGCTGTCTGATGATGAGGGTTTGTTTTGGGCCAAATGTAAGTTATTCTCTTTTAGAGTCTTGTTTTTTTTGCCTCGGGCAGTTTAAAAAAGAAATGAATAAAATCCTGAGACTTCAGATGCATGCTGGTTACCACGTGAAGCAGCCGTGCTCAGACTCAAACCATTCTCTCTGTAGCTCATTAATAAGCTTGATGCAAACATTAAAGGGCTGCTTTGCATAACAGCATGAACAGAGCTGACACTGAGATGATTCACATGGATAAGTGTTACGACTCAGACACTTGATTGACTTTGTTATACATGCGTACAGTTCTTCATATAGCACTTTGGATTTCTGGTCTTCAAAGATCGTTATATGTGATAAGATTTAAAGAGCATCCGTAGTTTTGAGGGTTTCTGTTTAGGAGCCAAAGTATAACAGGAGGTTTTTGGGAGCCATGATGGGTCGTAGAACTGAACTTTTCTTTTTTGACTGTACTCGAGTGAGCAGCCAGGTGCTTTACTGTGTCATACATTTGCACTGTCAGTAGTAAGACCATGTGCTCAGCGTGTGGGATTGCCCAGTTTCAGCCATAGGCAGGATAAAACATGGACTCCAGGTCTGAAACCTGAAGCCAGTGCAGAAGTGCCTTAAACCTGCATCTTAAATGACCAACAGATGGTGAGAGCTGTGTTTGCAGTAACGTCCTCTGAGCTCTTGATCTCTGCTCTCTTTCAAAAAACTAGCTTTGTGTTTGGTGAACTTCTGTTTCTATGATCTGGCATCACTGTGTGATGTTTGTCCTGACAGGTGCCATAGAAATAAACTGTAACTGTGTTCTGGTCCTATAGACGTGGAGACCCTGAATCTCTGTCACGTGACATCTGTAAAGACTTCCTGCTGGGTTTTATATGCTCAGTTACTCATTCCAGGTTGCATTGAATTAAAAAATGACAGTATTGTGTTTAAAAGGATTATCTGTGATAAGCTCATTGGCTAAAGACGTGTGATTCACAAGTTGTTAGCCAATGAACGCGTGGCTTCACTGTCAGACCTGCCCCTCTGTCACATCGTGTCCACCTTTTATACTGTCTGTAGTTCCAACTGCTCCTGAGCTTACTATTGGAAGGTGGGAAGCATGTGCAGTCTTACTGGAGCACAGTTTGCTCGCAGAGCTCAGACAGGAAGTTGACAGAACAGTACAAACATGTTGTTGATGGATCCATTAAAGTGGTGGTTCATTCACACTATTATACACAAAGTTACTGAGCAGCAGTATTACAGTTGTCCACCAAAGTTTCCATTAACTGTATCATTCAGTGTTGCCTGCAGTTCACAGCAGTACCTCCTTCTTCTTTTTAAAGCAAACATTTCTTTCTCACAGTTTCAGAGTAAATTAGCCAGTGTGCCTCTGGCTGCTGAAAGCACATCCATCAGTTTCTTTGCATCGTAAGTGTTATCAGCTGTTCTACTGACACCAAATTCATCATCAGTCAGCTTCACTCATCACGTCACTGCTACGAAGCTCTGTAGGCGCATCTAGAATAACTGGGAATGAACCCTCATAACCTGCTCAGTGTTTGGAAGTCGGGCCTGTGGACTTACCAGAGTTTCTGCATTGGTTACCTGTAATCTGTGGTCTGATCACAGTTTCCACACTGACAGTCCAGTAACACCAGAAAGTGTTATCAGAAAATGACCAACAGTGACACAGTCCCATCCACGTGTCGCCCACCCTCTCTGTCAGGGTCTGTGCTGCTGAGTTGGGCTCAAAAACAGACTATTGAGTGGTAGAAAAATAGTTTCACAATTGGTCATAGTGACAGTGGGACCCCAGTGGAGCTTCCTGGATGCTGCCGCTGTCCCTTCAGTTGCTACTGTAGTTCCTGTTGTCTTTTGCACAGACTAACCTGACTCTAGGCTGTGAAGTTTAAGTGACCCATGTTTCCTCGGTATCTGGTATCTAAGACCTGAGGAGGCAAAACGGCCCTAAACTGTGATAATGTGTCATAAAGTATTTTCAGCTGCTTGCTTCTTTCAGGGGCTGCCACAGCAGATGGACCCACATGTTTCATTTGGCACTAATGTCACACTGCACCCACATTTATCTGGGACGGCCACTGTGCAAGGTTGGACCACCAGAGACTGGGTTTCTCCCAGTCTCAAACCAGTTTCATGTGTAGGTGAACATGTTAAGCCCTACAACATGACTGATTGATGATCATGACATACAGAGAGATCAGACCACATGTTGGGTATTCAACACAGAAATGCTGGGAGTTTCAAATGTTACCATTGATGAACCATCAAACTGCAGGCATCACTTCTAATGTTTTTCCCTTTGACTGACGTTCATATCTTACGAATAATAAGGTCCAATTCAGTCATTTAAAATGTTAACCAAGCAAACAGGCTTTGTGATCTCTGAACAAAGAGCTAAACACACTGCTGATACAACTGTGACATGAAGGCTTTTTGGTTTTTACTGGTTACTTTGTCACATCCTGGCTGTCGTTCCATTTTTAAAAAGGCTGTTGAGCATTTTCTTAAGTTGTGAAGTGTGACTTGAAGGGAACGTTTCAGTGTTGTGCAAACCCAGCATCAACTACAGCTGACAAATAGATCAGTTTGATGGTCAGACACTAGTCGTACATTAGTCTCTGCTGACTACATCTATGAAGATCTGAGCACTAAAACAACTTCCCGGGAGACGTAGCTGTGTGACAGTGTGTGAAAATAACTGAAATCCTGTTTATAAGGAAACATCTTACTGCAGTGCTTAATTGGTCTTTACAGATGAAACCACTTCTTTGACATTTAGTCCTAAAACCTGCCTCTGAGGTGAAAACCTGTGTGCAGCATGTTAGACTGAAACAGTTCTGCTCCTGTATGATCGTTCAAATGAAAGGATTCACAGCTCACAGATCGTCACAGTTCATCCACACAGTGCTTTTCATTTATGTAGAAACCTCAAATCCTGGACAAAGAAAGTCAAATTGGTAGATGTTAATACATGGAGTGTTTTTGGATCTTTAATTATAACGATTTTGAATGGTTTTTTATTGAAATGTGGTTTCTTTAAATTCTTTGATCAAAAGGATGACTTCTCACAGAGCGGGCTGATGTGGCTGATGCTCGGTCAGAAGCAGCAGGCAGTGAGTGGGAGCTCCACTCTGCCTCAGCTCCAGGTGCCTAAATCGGCTGGTTCTCGTGACATGGTTCAGGATAGCATCAGATCTCAGCTGAACAACAAGTGTTCCGGTCATAAAAATCAGACACCGCTGATGCATCGTCGTCCATGTTAGCTGTTGGTTCTCTTGACCTTTGGAGTGAAAGATGCTTAACCTCCTAGGACCTGCGTCCACATATGTGGACATCACATTTTGGGTTATTTAGACCAAAATACTCAATTTTGCTCTACAAGGGCCTGATATCCTTTTACGAGGACATTATGCTGCTACTGTTCTATCAAAATGTTAAACGAATATCCTCATGTGTGGCTCTTATTTTTCTTAAAAACAAGAATAAGGAAAAAAAAATCTGGTAATTCTTTGTTTTTACATTCATTGGGTCCCAATCAAATATCAAAGAGAAATTAAAAATGCTGCCGTGGAAGAGTTCGGGTCTTAGGAGGTTAAAGATCTTGACAAATGGATAAGAGCTCACCTTGTGCCAGCTTGTAGTCACACTTTGAAGCATCACGGTGTCGGACTGTAGTCCACACAGTAACTACGTGACAACATGAACTCGTGCTGCTGGCAGACCTAAGTGGCCGGGCGTATTCATCTGTAATTCTTGATTTCATTCAGGAATCATTCAAGTGTGACTGAAACTGTAGATCTGCTGGCTGCAGACATACAGGCCGCAGGCGTCATCTTCATTTCCTGGACGTGAAGTCCCAAAGACGATGCTCTCGGTTGGATTTCTGAGTTTTGTACATAACTGAGTATGGAGTCGATTCAAAGATGTTCACGAACACATTTTCTCTCCATCTGCATGAATGCATTGATGGCGTGGAACATAGCTGGCAGTGCGCTCCATGTTTGTGTCCAGTATGAAGGAAGCACCGTACACCCCATGGCGTACTGGTTCCAGTTAGAGTGGTGATGTGTAGACAGAGAAACGCTGTGGGGTTAGGGTTCGTCACTTTGACGTGCTTTTGAGTTTCTCTGAGGTTTTTTCATTTGAATGAAGATTTCTTCTTCATGGACATGTTTCTGATTAATGGGGGGAAATGTATGTATTTGAGTAATGCCTGTGTATTTGTGCCCTGGACTAAATTGACATATCCAAACTGTATTAGCTCGTATGTTACTCTGTCACCAAAGTTTGGTTGATGGGCCACAGCAAACTGACAGATGGGAAAGTGTTCCCACACAGAATCTACTAAACAAGCGTTGAGTCTTGTTTAAACTGCTGTTTCCAAGGTCAGTAACGATGGTTCATGCTCAGCACTGTGGCTTCTGTTGTAAATGAGAAGGTATAAATATGTGGTTTCATATTTCTTGTAGCTGGATATGAATTGTTTTTCATTTGGTTGGAGTCTTTTTTAAACTCTGGTATCAAGCAGTGACAGCACAGACAAGTCTGCTTCATGTTTGTTGCTTTCACCACTTCCACGAGCGTCAGCCACACCTGCCCTGAAGGTGAATAGATGGGATTTAGTGCGATAGCGTCAGCACGTTCTTGTATGGTTTGACTCCGTGTAGCTGTGTGCATGCCCTGCCTGCAGGGGGCTGACAGCCATAAACAAATCTCATTTCATCCAGTGAACCTGTCTGGACACCTGATCCCTTTGAAGAGCTACTGGGCTGCGCACTCTACAGAAAATGTGAATTTCACAGAAATTGAGTCGTCACTTCCCTTCCACCACATAGGTTAGCATTTCCACACACGTGTGGTGACTCGCCTGATGCCCGTATAACCCAATAGTGTTATAATTTACCTCACTGTTCTTCTTTGAGCTCCAGAATTCTGAGAATAATGACAGAAAGTGCCCGTCTCCTTTGTGAGTGAGCAGAGATGAACACCAGTGGAAACCATATTTCTGTAGGTCGTGTGAAACGTGGAGCTGAGTTCTGAATGTTCCCAACCTTTATGGAAGTTTGCTCTTTGGATCTTGTGAATGTTTGTGGTTTTACAAGAGATGTTAGCAAGCCGCTCTTTTTTATTAGCACTTTTTGTAAATGGGATGCGTTTATTTCCTGCAGCATCGAGTCTTTTATTACAAATGTATAGATTCTATATTTAGCTCTTTTAGAGAACAATAACATGTAAATACAATATAAATGTTTTATTTTTGCAGGTACAATTTTTGACAGTGTTTTTCCTATAAAGTGTCATTTTTGCTTTACTTGCACAATTGCTCTGTGTTTCTCATTGAGGCCTCTTGCTTTGCAGCTTTGACTTAATTGTCTCCTTTGACCGTTCGTACGCTGCTTTACGTCACAGTGTACCGTGGTGAAGCTGAAACGAAGCTACTTAACAATATCACTGTGTCACAGAGTGTTTAGATGTTCCAAAAATAAGATGTGTCCAATAACTCCATGAGTGTGTCCTCTTCTGTCATTTTTACACCTCGGTGTGGTACATTACTTGATTTCCTCGTGGTCTCTGTCTGAAAGCTGCAACTATGTGATGTAAAACTCTTATGGACTGTACGACAGATTCCAGGTACAGAGAAGCAATAACAGTGGATCAAAGCTGATTACAAGTATTTTAGCGTGTGTGTGTGTGCGCGTGTGCACGCATGCATGTGTGTGCGTGGTCCTGGCACGTGCTGAGGCAGGAGATGCTCTTCAATGAGAGGCACAGACCAATTCAAACTTCTTTATAAGCTTCAATGGTACCAGTGAACTTTATTGAATGTTATGAAAAAACACTGCAATATATTTTGGTATTGGATCAAGCTGCTAACACACTTCTAAAGCTCCTTAAGGTGCTACAGACCTCCTCACTATCTCTTCAGATGTATCGTTTGTACAAAGTATCCCGTGTAGCTGAACAGTTGGCATGTGTGTGCCTAGTCGTACTTTATAGCTTCATATATTTTCTTGTACTGTGACTTTTGTAGTCTTTGCCTTTAATATAGCCCCCCCACCCGCACTCACCTGCGTGTGAGCATCCACAGACTGAGTTGTGTTGGGAGGTTACGCTGATGCTGGGAAACTGATAGCAGTGAGCTGCATCCAGCCACATTTAAAAACAGCATCCTGTGACGATGATCGACTCGTTGCAAATTCTTAATGTTCTTCATATTTTACTTTTTTTTACTTTTACATTTATCTTACAAACTACTGTTGTATTTTTATAGGCAAAGTATCACCTAAACACACAAATACATATACAGCTCACACTTGTCTGTGTGTGTTTATAGGTTGTGTAAAATAAATGTTAATGCTGCAGCTTTGACATCATCCAAAGAAGCAGATTATTTATTGCCTGGCAGAATAACCTGATTTCATTCACATATGTTGCTGCTATAATAGAAGAGCTGCAGTTGACAACTCCGATGTTTTATTCAATGTAATAAAAGAAATCAAACAGAAGAATCCAGCTCGTCTGTTTTCAACCTGTCACTCTGAGAACTTTGTTACAGTAACACACAGTGACACACAGTGACACACAGTGTTACTGACACGCAGACTGCAGGTTTCCCCAACCTTACAAACAGGTCTTGATCAGTGGTTGTTGATCAATGGTCATGAGAATTTGCATAATTATGATGAACTGACCTCCCAGCCCATTCAGTGGTTTCAGTCATTATGTAAATGTGCTGTTTATACCATTGGGGAAACCTGCAGTCAGCTGACACTGAAGACGTCACCTGATGATGACGACACGTTTCTCCTACTGAAAGCATCCAGATGAACAGAATCAACTTTTGGAGAGTTACGCTTCCTTACAACATGAAAAATCTCTCTGACCCATGAAAATGATACCTGGTACACTGAAGCTCGCATCAGACTGGTTCCAGTAGCTTGCATTAAAACACAGTAATGTACAGCTCCATGTTTTCATTTGTTACCAGTGAGCAGGCTGTTAGAAAGTGAGCATCTGTTTTTGCGTGCTGGAAAAGTCGGAGAGAGTGAAACAGACAGGCTGTGAGCTCCACGCTCCTCGGTGGAGCACCCTCCCCCAGCCTCACACTCAGTCCACCCTGACTGTTCAGGCAGGGCTCCCCATCCGCAGCTTTAAACACTGCGCACACATTACCAGCTCACACGGCTCGCCGGGTCGTATATATGACCGTAGATGTTATTATGCTCACTATCCCAGATGTTGTTCACACAAAGCCGTCCTTTTACCCGGCTCTGCTCTGTTGTATAGAGTAAACTGAGGTGAACCATCGGCATGAACTCAGTGACCCCAAACAGAAGCATTACGTCCTCCAGAACAGCAGGCGGCAGTGCGGAGCGCGTAAAAGCCTGAGCTGATCGCAGAGTAGCTGTTCGGCTTACAGAGCAGTATGGTGCACAGCGTGCCATGCCGTCTCCCATCCCGCTGACCCGCCTGCTGCCCAAAGACTTCTGCCCCTTTCTGGACACGGGGCCCTGCAGCAGCCCGCTGACTAAGCACGGCTCCACCTTACAAGTGCCCGCTCAGCGGCTCCATGGCCGAATCGCCACTCGGCTTTGGTCCTCGGTTATCCACTGGAAGCAGCTGCGCTCTGTGCAGCCCGTGGGCTCGGGAGGCTTCGGCTCGGTCGACCAGGCGGAGTACTTCGGAGAGACCGTGGCGGTGAAGAAGGTCAACAGGTCCACCAAGAACAAGCTGGCGTCCCAGCAGAGCTTCTGGGCCGAGCTGAACGCGGCGCACCTGCGCCACGCCAACATAGTGCGCGTAATAGCTGCCACCACCTGCGTCCCGCCACAGTGTGGAGACGAAGGCAGCATCGGGGTAATACTGATGGAGTTCGTGGGCAGAAGGAACCTCCAGCAGGTCATTTACGGTGGCACGGAGCCGCTGGGACAGCACAGGTGCGTCAGGTACTCGTCGGACATCGTTCACGGCCTGAGGTTTCTCCACTCCCACGGCGTCGTGCATCTGGACATTAAACCAGCTAACGTGCTGCTGACCAGCGAGGACGTGTGCAAAATCGCAGACTTCGGCTGTTCTCTCAAACTGGACCCTGGCTGTGAGGTCAGCGCCGCGAGCCACCAGCCTCTCGTGGGTGGCACGTACACGCACAGAGCCCCAGAGCTGCTCAGAGGCGAGAGGGTGACTCCTAAAGCGGACATCTTTTCTTTCGGCATCACTCTGTGGCAGCTTCTCACCAGAGAGCCGCCCTACACCGGCGACAGGGAGCACGTCATCTACGCGGTGGTGGCTCACAATCTGCGGCCTCCTGTTCAGGACCACCAGGTGTTCCGGTCGGAGCCGGGGCGGCTGTTTCGGGCTCTGCTGAGCC